TGCATAGCTGCCTGCCAATGTGTACTAGAAGAAGCGTCCTTGTAGGAAGTCGGTTCATGATTGGATAAAAGAGTTGCATAGCAGTGGTAATCACGAAGGTGAGAAGGAACATGTCTTACCCTGTCTGAGCGGCGAACATTCTTGGATTGTGAAGATTCAGGATCCGCAGACTCCACAGATGGCTCAGGTGTAGAACCTTGAGATGGTACAGAAGCTTGATCCGGAGGAGGTATAGAAGCTGGTTCAGGGAAAGTGACTAGTGCAGGAGCGTCTGAATAGGAGTAGGGACATCTAAGGAGTTTGACGGGTCAGTAAAGAAGGGAGTAGTGAGGGTGTTGGACGCCGAGTTTGGCATGGTGAAGAAGGGAACATGTTCCCAGAAAGTAACATGACGAGAGATGCGTAGACGTTTCGAGATAGGATCCCAACAACGATAACCTTTGTGTTCGATACCATAGCCAAGAAAGCAACACAAACGACCACGAGGCTCAAGTTTATTGTATTCATGGGATTGTAATTGAATGAAGCATGCACATCCCCATACTTTTAGAAGTTCATACGCAGGGGTGACTCCATATAGTATTTCATAAGGAGATTTGTGACTGAGTGTAGGAGTGGGGTGTCTATTGATGGTATAGACAGCTGTGAAAGCAGCTTCACCCCAAAAACGTTCAGGACATTTAGCTGAGATCAAAAGAGTGCGAACAGTATCAAGAATGTGTCTATGCTTTCGTTCAGCACGACCATTTTGGGGAGATGTTCCAGGGCAGGAGTACTGAGAGAGGGTACCCTGAGACTTAAGAAACGAGAGAATAGAAGATTCTTTGTACTCCATAGCATTATCTGCTCGAAGAATCTTAATAGGTTTGGAGAATTGAGTTAGAATCATACGGGCAAAAGTGATATAAATATGTGGTAACTCAAAACGATGCTTCATAAGATATATCCAAGTGAAGCGTGTATGATCATCCACAAAAATAACAAAATACCGAGCACCACCCATGGAGGGATGTGGTGCTGGTCCCCATACATCAGAATGAATAAGATCAAAAGGTAAAGCAGAAGTAAATTCTTTAATGTTAAAAGGAAGGGCATGGTGTTTACCAAGTTTACAAGGTAGACAAGAAATGTTTTCAGAAGAAACATTTCCTAACGACCCTGAACTAGCTAACACTTTTATTCTATGAGGGGAAAGGTGACCTAGACGAGCATGCCATAGATCAAATGAAGCTGTACTAGACACAGAGGCAACAAAATTTGGTGATTGCAAGGGAAGACGCATATATACCACTTCAAGCACCCGTCCAACTCTACGGCCTACACCAAGGATCTGCTTGGTCGTTGGATCCTGCACAAGACAACTAGAGGAATGAAATAATATTAGTAGACCAAGTTCCTGGAGTTGAGTAAGAGAGACTAGACCCAAGGCTAGCCGTGGCACATGTAAGACATCAGGTAATTGAACAGTATCAGTGGATAAGTTACCACTGAATAAGACAGGTAAAGGAGTAAGATCTGCTGTTTTAACAGATGCAAGGTGAAAAGGTTGCTTAGAGAGAAAACCATCAGGGCAAGGTGTCATGTGGTTAAAGCAACCAGAATCAAATATCCACATAGTACCTGATGTCGAGGAGTGTTGAGAATTCACACCAAGAGAACCTGTCATAATTTGTTCCATGAGCTCTTGATTTCTACGCATGAGGTCCATCGGATCTGGAGATGAAGAAACCGATCCTACAACAGGATTGATAAAGGTTCACTTGGAGTGACCGATCTGGCAACGGATTGGTTGCGATGTTGATAATTTCTTGGATTTGGATTCTGAGGACAATCGGATTGGTAATGACATGGTTGCGTAACTCCACAGTAGCGGCACGTACGAACGGGGCAGTCGAAGAGAAGATGAGATGTAGAGTGACAGAAGGTACACTCATTTGTGTTTGGCTTCCATTCACCGGTAGTCTGTCTTCCTGCTTGCTTGGCATTGTGATTAGACTTACCAGAATTATTGTGAAACTTACCTCTTGGCCTTGTTGAGGATGATGTGTACAAGACCATCTCAGTAGGTATAGGAGAGCGCAAATTAAGACGAGTTTCCTCGCTTAGTAGTTCAGTAATGACATCTTCAAGAGTGGGCAACGGATGTCTGTGAAGAAGAGAAGCACGAACATTCTCAAATTTGTCAGTGAGACCCATCAAGATGGTGATGAGATGAAGCTGACTAAAGTAGGCATGAAACTGACGGGCAGTCTCATCATAAATCTGAGGTGCACCAAGATTCAGTTGATCTCGAATAGACTGCATGTCTGAGATATAGGAACTCACGGACTGATCAGGAAGCTGCCGTTTGTTCTGAAAAGTGGTCCACAGTTGATACTGATGAGACAAGCCAGTAGACATGTATCTCTTAGCTAAGAAATCCCAGAGTCCCTTAGCAGTGGTGTAGCCAAGGAATTGCTGATTGATTTCAGCAGTGGTTGAGGCATTGATGAAGCTCAAGATCTTTGCGTTGTTGATGTCCCATTCATTCGTGCGCTTGACAAAATCAACAACATTCTCATTGGTAAGTTGAGTAGGAGCAACAGACTTACCACTCACATAGGAATACAAGCCATGAGACTTGAGAAGGATAGTCATGTGGTGTTGCCACAAGATATAGTTGTTTCCATTGAAAACAACCGAGATTGGGTTTGAGTGACTAGGATTGGAAACCATAGTAGTGTTGATTGGAAACTTGAAAAATCAGAATCCGGGTGAATCTGGGTAAATCCGGGTGAATCCGGGTGATGCAGGAGACGCAAATGTCGAGATGGAACGGTTGTCGGCGGCAGCAGAGAAGCGGCGATGGAGGCTGAGTGATGCAAAACGATGCTAAACTGTAATAGGAGACGCAAATGTCGAGATCTTGAAATCGACAGATTTGGAGATCGAGTATGGGAGCGACAGAGATCACAATCAAGAACAACAATGGAGAAAAAAAAAGGAGCAACCTATTGCTCTGATACCATGTTAGAATAAGAGAAAGAGAGGGCCAAAAGATTGCCGTTTGTATTGAATGAATATTGTAGGAACATTACAAGAAAAGGAGAAAACCTAAGCTACTTATATAGGATAGTACAGAGTGCCTAAACCCTAAACCTAAAAGCCCACGGGCTTATATATATGTGCTTCTTATATACAACTAACATATACTTTTGACTTTAAATGTGAAAAGTACTATTACCTTCAATTTAAAATTGATAAGAATACATTTAATAATTATATTACAAAAATGTAAAGTAAAGTATTATGAAAACAAAAAGAATCAGTTTTAAACTTGTATAAAGAATAAATAATGGGTTATGTTATATGCACTCCTATTTATGTCAGAATCAAGTTAAATCATGCATTAAAAATATAAAAAGTAAGTTTTGATGTTGACATGTGTGAGGAGGAAATTAATAGGTGGGGTTTAATTTAGCAATATAGAGAGGTGCATTTAGCCTATCCCATAATAAATAATAAGGGGGTGGCTAGATGCACCATATTTATTAATTTCCCCCTCACACACATCAACATCAACACCTCCAATGGTAAAAGTAAAGGCTTGACGGAAAGGTTGAGAACCACTTGATGAAAAGGTTAACCACTAGAGCAATAACTTAAGAATGACTTGACATCCAAAAGCTTGGGGGATGTCAAGTGTTTGAAGATTTATATATGCGTATTAAAAAATGAATCAACAATACAAAAAGAACTTTTGAAAGACTTGACCATTGGAGTAAGTATTTGAAGATGGGTTTCTGTTTAGTGGAAATCTATGTGGCAAATAGATCAAGTCTTTTAAAGACTTGACCATTGTGGATGCTTCCGGTGCATGATTTGACCTGATTTTGATATAAAAGGAGTGCATATAGCATTACCCAGTAATAATTATAATTTTGTGAAATACAAATAAAGCCAAAGAATGACAACTAACAGAGAACGGAGGGGCTACACAATGAACCTCAAATTTGTTATGAAGCCAATTGTTTCACCGAATGCAAATAACTACATTTGCAGTAAAAAACAAACAGATAATTATGATATCTCATGAAGTGATATGTAAAGTTCTGTTATATTACCTTGTGGTTTTGTCTGTGTAACGGGCCGTTTTTGAGCAGCTTGGATGCTTGCAAGAGCAGGGGATGTCTTTGGATCTTCAAGTGGCATAAAATCATCCCAACCGTCTTTCTCATTCTCTTGATCATATACACTAATACCATTCTCAAGTTCACCCCATCCTTCAGTTGAGGTAGGTGACACGGGTGCAGGTTGATCAACAATGTCAGCAGTTGAACTTGCACGGACCATCGTTAGACTTGGGGCATCTGATACCACTATCATCACCCAAAAAGAAAAAAAAATCCAATATCAACTTGTTAATCAACATGGGTGGATGCAATTTGTGCCTAAACTTCTCCGGTTTATTCTAATTTGTAGCAAAAATATACGAGTAAAGTTTTCTGGTTTCTTATAGATTTTAAACCACTACTGTATACTTAATAATACTCCTTTCGACTCAAAATAAGTGTCCACTTTCCGATTTTACCCTTTGAGATGGAGAAATTCATTACTCCTTTGTTATTAAGGATAAAGTCGTCATTTAGTTGCTTAAAAATGTAATAACTACACATTTCTAAAACAATGTGCCTTTTTCATTGTGAACATTTATTTGAGACGGAGGGAGAAACATACAAATCAACATAAACTAGAGGTCAAAAACAATCACGTGAAATGCTACCTGAGCTGGCATTGACGACAGCAGAAATATTAGGTGCACTGGAACTTGCAGATAAATGTGGAGTATGTTCAGAAGGTTTTCCTTTGATAGATAAAGAGCTCATGGCCCATCTGCATCATAGCCGAGATGTTGGATTGCATGTTAGGAATGCAATTAGAACTCTTATTATCTCTGTGTTTTTCTAATTGGTGGGGAGGGGGCTTCAGATGTAACTAGTTAACTACTTGCACAACAACAAAATATAAAAAAGTTATTCAGCAACTGAATAAAAAGATTCCTGATTTATGTGACATACATACATACTTCCAAACTAAACAAGCTTCATCTTTCTGTAAATCATCTCTGGGAAATGGTGTTTGAAAACATTATAGAAAAGTGTCATATATGTATTTACAAGGAACCCCAAAGGCAAGCAAAAGCTGCTAAAACAATGAAAATAGTTCGGAAGTGATCAAGTGTTAATGAATGAGTTCAGGAAACTTCAAAAGGATGTTGATCAACCAGGAACTAAGGGGTTGTTTGGTTGGTTTTCCATCAATTCTCTTTAATAGATAAAGTTGTCTGTGTGGATTAATCAGTCTCTATAGATTGGGAAGATTTTTGTTCCGGAGGGTTTTTCATAGATGAAAGGAGCGTGTTTTTTAATCAGGAGGGGCAGGTTTGGAAAAAACTTGGCTTTCTGCAAAAAGCTCCCCCTAAAAGCTTACTGAATAAGCCACTTTCTATCATTAAGCCACCATCAAACAGTCACATATAACTGATCGAAAAGCTGTGAGTCCCATTTAGCTCATTAAGCTGCTAACAAACAAGCCTAAGTTCTTATTGAAGCTACTTAAGAAAATCAACTGAAGTCGAGAAGAAACTTTTAATAAATCAATACTGCATGAATGCCTCCTTGCATTTCCTTATACCCATAAGAAGTGCATCCAATTCAAGAAAATGAATGGTACAATTTGCATAACACCACAAACATGAGGAATCAGATAGGCATACCCTAGTATACTTGCATTTCCTGGAACTGATGAATTTCCTGAGCTTGTAGGCTCACTGTTATCTCCAGCATTTGTCTACGCATATAAAAGACATCCATCATTAACTATATTACAATTATGTGTCATCCAATAACTTTACCAATATTTCAGGGTTGGAAACCTGCAACAACCAAAATTTAAGGTGGTTTACCCGTTACCTTCGTAACAAACATTTATTTACATACCAAGTACACCACTTAAGGCTACCTTCATAGAAATGGCATTTCAATAATCAATGATGTAGAGTGCTCATGGCTGTGCCATATAGTGGATGTGGGTTTACTTGAACCCACACTCTTCTCAAATTCTTAAGAGTATAATGAAATTTCACAATTAGAATTTTCAAGTATAGAAAATGAAACCAATATATAGTTGGATATTATTTAGCAATGAGTATTTGTAGTGTTCCTTGTCAAAGTTAGATAAGTCCAACCTTGACCTTCTAACACCTAAAAGAAATGGCAGAATGAATAGGAAAACAACCCCATCAAAGGCGTCAACAATAAATTTTGTTATCATGCAATTGATGTACCAGAAGGGTCCGAGTGAACAAAACAACCTTGCTCCACCCTTGATTAAACAACCAACTTATTCCAAAATCAAAGCTACTTGCAACTAAGAGCAAGACGCATAGCTGGTTTTTTAGGGGAAAAGAGTTCAACCTCCAACACAGGAGATTAAAAATTAAAATGTGAAACCCTATAGTAAGCATTAAGGCTGACAACTGGCTACTTCTATAAGAAACTCCAATGAGGGTTATTGTGAAATTAAAGTAGATAGAAAACTATGACCCATCGAGTAAAAGCATCAGCCATGAATACCAATAATCAAACAAGAGCAACTCGATGGTTTTATTCTCTCAGGCAAAGCCGACCAAGTGGTGTCTTTGTCCAATGGTACCATACAGAACCTCTGAGAGAAACCAAGGTCATGGGTTCAAATCCCTCAAAGAGACATAATTAATACATATTGCCAGAAAAAATACAACAAAAGACAGAAAACACACCTTTTCGTGGTACTGCTTCACTATCTGCAAAAACTGTTCAACTGCTTGGAAGGCCTTTGATCGAACATCACTGCAGCAAATGAAATCACAGATTGGGTTCACCAACGCCATCATGAACTTAATGACAAGAAGTAAGGTGATAACCATGAGCTCCAAACTCAAAGGAGCCTGAAACTATAGCTGCTTATATTTGATAAAGAACTGATCATACAAGACCAGGCATGTCAATGAGATGTAGACATATATTCCTAGTAGCCATGCTAAGCACTTCATCATGCCTTGAGTATCTCTGAAAAAACTTATCACCAAAAGGACACCCTCAAACAGGCAAACATATTAACCTTTAATCTATTTTTTTATGGCAAGTATAGAAAGAACTGTATTATATATACACACACACATATGTATATGTGTGTGTAGATAACTTATCATTGTCCCCTCCAGTAACCTCTCTGATCCCAACCCCTCCAGCAATCTCGTCGGCTACTTCAGGCAACATAATTGCCCTCACCGTCTGTGACTTGTGCCCCTCTTGCTCTTGCCTCCATTCTCTCTTTAACTCTCGCTCTCGACATCATCAATTTCGCTGACAGCCTTGATGTGTCCCTCCGCTGACAACTGTGTCAGATGTCTCTCCTCCCTCCGAATGGGTGGTTGTCACTTCTGCCAGCCTACACCTCCAGCGCTCTGATGCATCTCTACTCTGTCATTGTTCTAATGCTACTTCTCATCCCTTTTATCATTTCTGCTCAATGAACCTCATAATAACACGGAAAATATTTCACTTGTTGTATATTATGCATAAGACCTTACTGTTGACAAGTCCAAAGTTGGGTTGGTGCCAAACAAACCTTACTCTATTCGTGAAATGCTATGCAGAAGGAATGCTAGTCATTCTCATAGTCTATGTAGATGACATCATCATGACTTGGAAATAACTTGGCAGAAATTACACGTCTCAAGAAACTTCTTGCATTTGAATTTGAGACAAAAAAAATCTAGGAACACTGGAATACTTTGTGGGCATGGTGGTAGCCCGACTCAAAATGAGGCTTTTGTCTCATCTCAAAACAAGTATGTTTTGGACTTGCAAAAAGAAACTGGGATGCTAGGGAATAGGCCTGCAAAAACCCTTATGAACCCCAATCTAAAGATGACTTTAGATTAGTTGGAAACCTAATATATCTTTTCCCACATTAGACCTGGCATTGCTATTCTATTGATATAATCAATCTATGCAATCTTAGTAAGAAGCTGATACACACTCTGATGATTGAACATGTAATTTTTATAAGAATTCAATGGATCAGAAGATTACAAAAGGTATCGAGTGAACAAAGATGTTTCTGGGCTTTCAAGAGGCCGAGTACTCTCCCAAGGCTTTCGCCCACACACAAACTAATCAATATATCCTATTGACCTACCCCCCCCCTCCTAATTTATACTATCCCAATTATTACAACTCTGTTGTACACTGGAATGGAATTGATCGGCTGTTTGTATTAATAGGTGACTCTTAAAAACACAAAAGAAGGTAAGGCAGAGTATACTTACAAAGAAATTTGACGGTGTTGGAGAAGGGAGAGTCAAGAATATGAAGAACAAACATTTATTCAAACTACAGGAGAGTTTCAAACCATGGACAGCTTTTACATGTTCAGAAGGACAGTATGAATGGAACGTTCTTAGTTTCGGATTAAAAAACGCTCCATCTATATTTCAAAGATTTATGGATAACATTTTTCTTAAATTTGATTTTTGTTTAGTATATATTGATGACATTTTAGTTGCCAGTGAAACGGTGCAGGAACATGAAAAACACTTACAGAAGATCTTCGAAGAAATTAAGAAGAACGGTATAGTGGTTTCAAAAAGAAAAATGGAATTGTTTAAACGGAAAATATCTTTTCTTGGTTTAGAAATAGGTAATGGAAAAATAGAATTACAATCACACATTTCTACAAAAATTCTAGGTTTCCCAGAAAAATTCGAAACTCTTAAACAGATACAGGCATTTTTAGGATTAATAAATTATGCTAGGAAATTTATTCCTAATCTTTCAAAATTAGTTGGACCTTTATATAGTAAAACTACTAAAAATGGACAAAGACATTTTAACAATGAAGATATAAAATTGGTTAGAATAATAAAAGAGGCAGTTAGAAATATAAAGCCCCTAGAACTACCATTAGTYACAGATTATATAATTATAGARSTAGATGGTTGTAAAGAAGGATGGGGAGYCGTGCTTCTTTGTAAACCTAATAAATATAGCCCTAAAGAGACAGAAAAAATATGMTCGTATGCCMGYGGAAACTTTAACAARACAGGTATGAACTGGACRAGTTTAGATTTCGAAATACAAGCTCTAATAAATGYTTTAGAAAAATTTAAAATATTTTTACATAATGAATTTACAGTAAGAACRGACTGYGAAGCTATRGTTCGCTTTATAAAAAATGATCAAAGCAAAAAAGTTAATAGGACACGATGGATCAATTTACAAAATATTATACAAGGATGTGGATATAAAATAAATTTTGAACATATCAAAGGAAAAAATAATGGGATWGCAGATATGYTATCTAGGAATATTAACAAACTATTTAAGCCATGAGCAATAAAGTTCAAATAAATTGTAATCAAAATAATAAAATAAAAACACAGTATCTAAAAGAATATTGGAAACAGCAAGCATCAAATGTTGAGCAACTTAAAAAATTAGAAAAAGAAATTCAAGATTTAGAAAGCAACTCCAATATTCAAGATCCTTATCATCCAAAACATCTTCACTACAAAAATATGAAGGAAAGATTAAATTCCTTAGAATTATCTATGAAACAAAACAGGTTTTTGGATCAAATTTATTTCAACAGATTTATCAGAATCTATTTGTTAATTTGCTGCAGATGGATAGAAAAGATAAAGGCAAAAGAAAGGTGATATAATTTTGCATTTAGAAAAAATAGGATTAATTGGAGAAGATATTACAAAATCTAAGGTTAACTACATATGCAAATTTAAATTAAAAAATATTTCCTCAGAATTTCAAGAGGTCTGAGATCTCTCCCTAAAGCGTTTCCGCTCAAATCAATGTTCACAGAACAGGACCCTCTACTTCGGTGTGAAACAAACATTAACTACTTGTACTATTGCATCAGGCACTTGTACCATAGCCTACCATATTTGACCAAGGGTATAACAATACCCGCCTCCAAACTCTCACCTTGTCCTCCTGGTGGAAAAAAAAATGGAAAACGAATCGATTCCAAATCATTACATCAATCCCCCGATATCAACCTGATTGCCAAGGTGTTCAAGAACAAATGCAGCTATAACTTGTCCCGCCGATGTTGTTCTCCCACGCCCAAGAGATCTAATGCCACACGTGACCCATGGGTTGCTGAGGACATCATCGATGCACTTTCCAGAAACTCATCTAGAACTGTATTATGCCCTACCATTATGTGGTCCTTCACGCCCATTCGAACAAAGATCGGCTAGAGAAATCTTAAAACTTCCTATAAACACATCTGCTCCAACGTGGGACAAAATCACCAGTAAACCACCCTCACATGGAATATTAGGCTTCCCATCCATGTTAGGACCAGTAAGAAGATGATCAGAACGACCGATACAAACATCATTTGGGACAAAGATGGGATCTTCTCTACTATCATTTCGAAGAACTAAAAGCTCTAAATCTTTAGCAGAAAGAAAATGTGCCTCATCCCCAATTGATGGATACACAATAAGAGGATGACATGATGGTCCATCATCGAGGTCACTTGTGACCGTTTTGCTGCACAGGATATGAAGTTTTCAAGTAGTAGAAATTAATTGGCTCCAGCTATCATGATGCTCACAGAATACCAAAGGGTGATTCAGAAGACTGGTTTGATAAAGGATGACTAAAACTAAGAGATAAACAAACTTAAGAACAAGAGAGAATATAAGGAAGAGGCTTTTTTTTCTTTCCAAGGATGATTTACAAATGAAGGGGAGCCTTCCTTTTATAGGGAAGGAAAAGGTACCCCTGCATAAGCATTACAAAAGCATGACACAAACAAGTAATAAAGCAAGCTAATAAAACAAACTAAATGAGGTAAGCGCTTACATCACATGAAAGTGACTTCAAGCTTACATCATTATTACAACATTATTTTATCCTTTAATCGAGACAATTATTCATATTATTCTACGATAATTACTTCCAACGGAAGTCAGGATGAGATGGATCGTCTTCAAAAGAATCATGCAGTTTTTCTCCAAAGTCATAATGCTCATTGTCTTCATCAAAATCTTCTTCATCGGAAATGTCTATTTTCTTCGTGAGATGAGTCTAGAACCAATGTTCAAGTGTTTCGTCCTACGATGCAGAAACTGGATGTTCGGAAGACCAGAGTTTTTCATTGTTTATAATCTGCTCTGGGATTGAATCTAGATCTACTAGGTTAGCACTGGCTAGGATCCGCCGTGTTTCCATATACTTTCCTGGCTGGGATAACTCGAAGTACTTACTGCCTGGGTTGTTGCTGTCGGAGAGCGTATGTGGTAGAAAGGAGCAGGCCTCCTGAACATGACCACAACGTAAGTCTTATAGCAGACAGCTAATTGTTGAATCCATTGATGCGCTGGGAGAAACCACTGGAGAAGGGTGAACACATTAAGTGCCGCTAGGGGCGCACTCTCAAACTGACATCGAAAAATGTAGCTGAGTAGCTTGGCCAAGTTGAATGATATTGCGATGGTGTGAGACTCAAATAGATACCAAAAGAAACAAAGTGCTTCCTTAGGGAACCTATGTAAGTCATAGATGTGGAAGACATGAAGGAACGGGTAATCCGGATGGAACTGGAAGTTTCTCATGAACATGCCATGTTTTTTTAGCGTGATAGTGAAGAACGTTTTGTAATTCAACTGGGACCTTTCTCTTAAGTTAAGGTCGGCAATTGTTTATGTTATCTCATCCGGTAGAACTTGTGGTGGAGTTGTGGTACTTTAAGCTGGATTGGCCAGTTGTGGAGGTTGAGAAGTGTTTAGAATAAACGAGCTGGAAGAGCTTGCTTTCTCCACAAGAAACACCATTGGAAGGATTTTGGCTTTGTGGA